GCGGTGTGTGCTCTGTTGTGCAGAAACTTAGTTTCACGTGGCCCTGTCTGTTGACACACAGGGACACTTCTTGTCCTATTTAAACTTCCAAGCACAATTTCGCCTGTGTGGGTTTGCTGCTAGAACAGACCATACCCCCGTTACTGTCATTGTGAGGGGCCGGCAGTGTGAGGTGGGATGCCTCTTGTAGTAGGTCCTTGTGTTGCTCTGCCTTGAGATACCAGAGAAGAGCGCCTTGAGGAAGAGGCTTCTGGAAGAGCCATCTCCGTGGGGAAGGCATGGCAGCAGGAGTGGATGAAAGCTGGTGCTCAGCTCACTTCCTCCTCCACGCCGCCGTCCACACCAGACTGTGCGTCCCTCCTCCTTCAGCCCGATCTAGAAACTTCCACAGGTACACCCGAGAGCCGACTGGAGATTCTCGATCCTGTCCAATCCACAGTCAAGGTTGATTCCCATCTAACTGTTCTCTTCCTCCACTGTTCAGCTTTCGTCTTAGCTCGTGAGTACCTCACGTGGTGCTCTGATGCATGCAGTGTGAAAGATCAGCGTCTGGGCTCACAGATGCCAGATCCGGCCTTCCAGTGAGTGAGCTCCTCAACCCAAAATAAAGTGGAAATACTCTCCTCGGGAACTGTAGAAATCCTGAGTTTTTATAGGCCTGGCACTGAGCCATGCATCCCTATAGGAAGAATCGACCACGTTCATCTTGAATGTTTCCCCTCTGAGTACACAGAGTGGAAACTCTCCTTCAGAGAGTTTTTCGTTTTTCTCAGCTCTCTTATACGGTTATCCCCACACTGGCACCGTGTTTTATTACATTGTTTTCTATACTACAATGTTTTATTTCATTGTATCTATGTACCTTAAAAACATTTCTAAGTGGTATTGCAGTTTTAACTTCAGGGCATCTGTGTTTAAGCTGCCTGTTATAAAGTTCAGCCAGGTCAGCAAGATGGTCAAGGCATTTGCCACCAAAGCTGGAGACCTGAGTTCAGCACCTGGAACTTAGGAAGATCTGCCTTCTGCAGGTTGTCCTCTGATCTACACACATACGCCATGGCGTAACACACACACACTACATACATATTATATTTATTATATTATGTACTGATATATATATATATATATATATATATAATATATATATAAAACATCTTGAAAGCTCAGTGGAGTTTCGTGGTTTTGTTTTGAAACAAGGTCCCTGTGACCTTGCTCCAGACTGAGCTGGAAATCACAATGTAGCCAAGCCTGGCTTAAAACCCTGCCCCTGCCTGCTTCCAAACGCTGGTGATATTGGTCAGAGTGTTTTGGGGATTAAACCCAAGACTCATGCACACAAGCCAAGTGCTCCCCAACCTGAACTACTGCCTCAGCCACCTTATGGGGCTTTGAGCATTTGCCCTGTGTTCTGTCCCCTGAGAAACTGGCCTTGTTGCCCTAGATTTTTGTATATTCCTTTGGATTTTCTTTTAGACCATATCATTTAAAAACAAGACTGTGTCTTCCTTTCCCTCACTTGCTTTTCATTTACTTGGCCAGGCCCCTCTGATGGTCAAGAACTTGAAGCCCTGTGTGGAAGGATGGCGGGGAGGCCTGTATGCCCTCACTGCTTACTGCGGAGAAGCTAGCATCCCTCTGCTGAACGTGAAGGAAGCTGTAGGGTTTGGAGAAACACATTTTTGAAGCATAGGAAGTCCTAATGTGGTATTTTTCCTGGTGGAGGTGAATTTGGCAAATTCGTTTGCATCATTTGATAGAATTAATTCTTGTGATTAGTCCTTACGACCCACGGGTCATAGTGTAAGATTGTGAATTTTGTTCACTAGTATTCTGTTGAGGATTTCTGCTGCTCTGGTCGTGAGAAATCCTGGCCCCCAGCTTTCTTCTCTCTCTCCCTCCTTCCCCCATCCCCGCTCTCTCTGTGGTACTCATGAGCACGGGTGGGATAGCTTCCATGTTATTTGGGAACCTTTCCAGACTCTTTTCACCGTATACGTAGGAGTCATTTATGCAAACAGAAATCTAGTTCAAATATGAAGAAAAGTAAATATACTGAAACAGTAAAATGAATATAAACTGCATTGCAGAAAGAATTCTTGGCTGGTTTTTGCGTTTTTACTTTGGCGTAACTGTGCTTACAGCTGGGCAGTAGTTGGTGTGACGGGCAACCCAGGGAGATGACTGTCGCCATTTTCTCAAGCACCGCATCCAGTCCTGGCTTCTGTTTCGAGGTGTGCATTGCTGCCACATGAGGTCCCTGCAACAAAAGTGGGATTCCAGCCTTCCCTCCTAGTTGTGACTTTGACCTCTCGGGTACCCCCTCCCCCCCGCGGCCCCATTGCCCTGACACAGCCTCTGCAGCTACCATTTGACTCTCTGCTGGGAGATGTCAGTCTGTGCCTTTGGTTTCTGTCACTGGGGGTGACGTCCTCTGACCTCAACGGCACCGCCCTAATAGACAGGGTCCCATTCTTTACATAGCTGAATAGTACTACTCACATTTCCCAAAAATAAATCTATTCAGTTTTGAGCATCTAGTTTGATTCCACATCAAAACTATTGTGAGAAACGCTACAGGAAACAATTGGCTTTTTGTGGAAATTTATGGTGTATAACTTTTTAGTAAATCACTTTTTCTCTTACAAATACCGAGAGGTGACTAAGACGGTGTTGCTCTTGCAGAGGACCTGAGTTCAATTCCCAGCACACACATTAGTGCGCTAAAAGTGCAGGAATCCAATGCTGCCGGCTTCTGTGGGCACCCACACACGTGTAAATGCCAACACGGAGACACAGGGTTGAAGTGTCAGGAGGATAAGAAGATATTAAAGTTATGCCCAAGCCTGGTTTTGTTTGGATGTGTGCCCGCGCTGGCCTGCTGGGTACGTGCATGGTGATTCTGATTGTTTCGGGGAGTCTAAGCACTGTTTTTCTTAGAGTCTCACAAACTTACATCCTCAAAATAAGGTAGCTTTCCTCACATCCTTGTCAGGGCTTCACTGCTTTCAGATAAATGTTCAGTTCATAAATGCATAATGAAAATATTTTCCCATCAAAAATTATAGAAATTTAACTGAGAATTATTTTTTCAAGTACAGCATAAATTATATCAATATAATTTGAAGAGATCTCTGTACCAAATAATTTAATAAAATCTTTAAATCAGTAAAAATGATCATTTAAGAGGTTTTTAGTTTTAGTACGGGCAGTTTTATTTTAGAATTTAATTGTATGAATGTCTTTTCTGTCCTTGATCTCAGGATTCTATTCTATATGAAAAACTTGAAGTCAAAACCAGTGTCTCTGATCTGAGATCTTCCTGCCATTGATGCCATAGAATGTGCAGTCATACTGAAGTTTCATAGATCTTCATATCTGTGTGGCTTTTCTCTGAATAATATGTATTCATTATACCCACACATACATGCAAACAGGTGACAGACGATAGATAGAAGGGGAGGAATAGTGTATATGTCAATTTTTTTCTTTTTTAAACTATTAATTAGTTTATTAACTTTGTATCCCAGCTGTAGCCCCCTCCTTCATCCCCTCCCATGCCCCTCTCCAAGTCCACTGATAGGAGAGGCCCTCTTCCCTTTCCATCTGACCCTAGCCTATCAGGTCTAATCAGGACTGGCTGCATTGTCTTCCTCTGTGGCCTGGTGAGGCTGCTTCCCCCTCAGGGGGAGGTGATCAAAGAGCCAGCCGATCAGTTCATGTCAGAGACAGTCCCTGTTCCCCTTACTAGGGAACCCACTTGGACACTGAACTGCCATGGGCTACATCTGCTCGGGGGTCCTAACTTATTTCCATGAATGGTCCTTGGTTGGAGGATCAGTCTCAGAAAAGACCCCTGTGTCCAGATTTTTTGGTTCTGCTGCTCTCTTTGTGGAGCTCCTGTCCTCTCCAGGTCTTACCCACTTCTTTCATAAGATTCCTTGCACTATGCCCAAAGTTTGGCTATGATTCTCAGCATCTGCTTTGATATACTCTGCTGGGTAGAGTCTTTCAGAGGCCCTCTGTGGTAGGCTCCTGTCCTTTTTCCTATTTTCTCCCTCTTCCAATGTCCATTCCATTTGACTTTTAGTGAGGTATTTCAGAAGCAGAAAGACACACATAGTATATACTCACTTATAAGTGGATATTAGACATAAAATATAGATAAAGATACTAAAATCTGTACACCTAAAGAAGCTAACCAAGAAGGAGGGCTCTGGGTAAGATATATGTCACTTTTTAAAATTACCTTTTGCCTTAAAAAAGTTAGAAATATGTCTAAGTAGAGTCTGAGTGTGCTAAGCATTTAGAAAGCTATAGTAAATTTATAAAGCCACATTAAATTATTAATGAAGCAGCGATAGGAGGCTGCGTTGTAGCACCTATGACTTTCACAGTTGTAGGCTTTTGACCCGGTTTATGATATCAGGCAATAATTTTCACCCATGGGGCAGGCCTCAAATCCAATCAAAAAGCAGTTGGATGTGTGTGTGTGTGTGTGTGTGTGTGAGGATGCCAGAGGTCGTGCTCTGTCGCCTTCTGTCACTCTCCACCTTTATTTTGGTGTTTGGTATTTCTCTGAAACTGCAGCTCACTGATTTGCTGGATGGGCTGAGCAGCAAACCCCAGGAACCATCCTCCATCTCCTGTACTGGGATCACAGGTGCCGCCATGGTTGGTGTGGGCGTCACCCGCAAGTCCTCAGAGCAAGCGCTTTGCTGGCTGAGCTGTTTCTGAGGTCCCTTGTTTTCATTCTTTTTATGTCAGCTCATCGTTGTGAGTTCACTTTATCACTGAGTTATATTAACATGAACGGAATGATTATACTCAGCATTTATGGCGTTACGTGCAAATCTGAAATGTTGTGAATTATCACTCGTAATAGACCTCCCAATAACCGCAGGAAAGTAAGTACATTGAGCAACAGCTTGAGGAAGGTTCCTGTGCTCGCCTCATGGAAAAGCAGTCCTTTCTCCTGCTTCAGCATTGTTCTCACTTTTCAGGATTCAAGCCAAAACTCGGGAATTCCGGGAGCGGCAAGCTCGAGAGCGTGACTATGCGGAAATCCAGGAATTCCATCGGACGTTCGGCTGTGACGGAGAGTTGGTGTATGGGGCCATGCCAGCCTACGAAGGGTGCCTGGCTCTCGGTGCCAGGCCCCAGAGCCCAAGGGAAGGGCACCTGATGGACACTCTGTATGCACAAGTAAAGAAGCCGAGGAGCGCCAAGCCTGGGGACAGGTAGGTGGCGCCAGTCATGGCTTTGTGTCAGCGCTCTGCCGGTTCTGCCCCTGTGAGCTGCTGGTGACTAACAGCCTTAAAGACCTGTTAGAGCTAAAGCTATTGAGTTGACACAAGTCAGTGGCTAATGGAAAGAGCAGCAAGAGGTTTTGCTTGCTTTCCTAACAGTTCCCGGCTGGCTCTCCCTGCTCTTCAAGACCTTTGACATGAGGAGCTGCTTGTGGCTCTGATCAAAGTCAAGTTCAGATGTAAGCCGCGTGTTCTCTTTTGGCTAGGACGGGTTCTGTGACTTTGAAGGACCACTTGGGGTGGCATAATTTTATACTGTGAAAGAGTTGATAAATAGTAAAGATAGTACATCTGGCCCCCATAGACTTCCGTCCTGAAATGCTCATCAGTGCAGCAGACAGAATGAAAGGATTGTGTTGTAATGGTTACCTGGTCATTTAAACATTTAACCGACTCTGTGAGCCCGTATGCACTGACACACGCTTATGAAGGCTCTGTGTGTGGCTGGCATACTTATTTCAACTGGCTACATACATATTTCAGATTTTAGCTGAAACAGTCTTAGATGGATCTTTTCCCACCCCTCCCTTTCTATACTCAAACACCATATGGAGTTTAGCTTTGAAGAGAATAATTCTCATTTCTTTTCATATCAAACATGTGCACACTATTGTCATAAACAATACGCCAATCGTGCTATAAACGTCGCTTATCGCTCTGTATGGCAGCTGGGCTTTGTAAATTATAAATGGGTTTACTTAAAAGCAGTGTTTCTGGAGCATTTATGTGCATTAGGCTTGCCTGAAAGGCTTCTCGAAACACTGACTGTCTTGATGCAGTAGGTTGAGGGTGGACTCCAAGAATTTCAGTTTCAAGGATCCTCAGATTGATGCTGGTCCGGTGGTCGTGGCTTCAGAGTTCTTTGCAGGACCCAGTCGGCGGACTCCGGTGACGAGTCCTCGCTGCAGCGTTGGCAACAGTCCTGATTTTAATCACTGACTTCCGGCTATCAGTATCAGAAGCTTGGAACTGCAGAAAGCAATTTCCAGCAATTACAGAAGGAAACATTATTTTAAAAAATAACAGAAGGAACAACAGCTCCCGAGCGAGCGAGCATCCCAGGGATGTTCTGGCTCTGACCCTTGTTGTCGTTTCCATTTTTCTTGATTATCTCAGAGACCCTCTTTCACGGTGAATATGAGGAGTGAGCGCTTAGGTCATTCCTGCCTCCTGCCTGTGCCCTTCAGGCATGTGGTAATCGACATGTCAGAGCTCAAGCATGAAGGTACCGTCAGTGGCAGGGGCACTTTCTTTGAAAGCTTTTTGGCTCATTTCTGCCATGATTGTGGAAGCTGCCTGCCAGAGGTTAAGTGGCAGCAGAAGGCATGCACATCTGCCTGAAGGTGCTTTCTCGAGAGGAAGGCCACCAAAACACTTGCACTGCCAGCTAGCGCTCCTGGGGACTGGGGAAAGGTGGCCAAGGCGTTACCGATGGCAGATAAAGTGATTATCTGCGATTGCCTGCACATACTCGAGAATCAGAAAAGCAGGTACATTCAGAGAGGACCGCCTGCTCCTCAGTGCCACAAGCTTGTGCCTTAAACCCCAGAGCAGCGAGAGCTGCTATCTCACCCTCAGGCTTCTGCAAGCCTTCAAAAGGGATTAGCATGGTCAGTGCTCCCCGCTCCAGCCTCCACATCTACACCAGTGCTCTCCACGCCCTGCTCTACTCGTTAGGTCTGAAACAGGCCCTTGGCTCATGCCCACCACAGTCCAAGGAAGTCACAGGGAAAGGTCACACCGAGCAGCAAGTATTTTAGAAGCACACCTTTGACACTGCTTTCTTCCAAACCCCCTTGGCTTATCCGGAGGGCCATGATTTAGTTTTGCAGGGAAAACAAAAGATTACAGACACTCAGACACTCTCTGTTGCGTCGTTGCTTTCGCAGAGAATGAGGTGTCCATTCATGGCTAAAGGCGTTGCTGCTTTTACAAGTGGCCTTCCTGCCTGTCGTGCTCTTCCTCATCCTGTTGTTGGACTTGGCCTGGGGGCTTGGCATTCCCCCATTGTCTGTCTTGTAGGAGAAAAGGCAGAATTAATGCTGTTCACTTATGCCCTTTTCTGAGGAAAGGCCATCTCTTACTCCTACATACTGCTGTGAACTGTCGTGATTATATTACTTAAATACATATAAAGATAAAATGGGACAGGACTCCTGTGTAGGACAGTCAAAAGTCTAATAAAACCTCAATCTTTATAAAGTTACTCAAACAATTGCTATAAAGGTGCACACCTGCTGAGCCCATGCCCAGGAGGGTTTGGAATATCATATTGATATATCATTTATGACGACCTCCAGTTTTTGTTATCAGTAAGCTGACACATTTTTTCTTGTCTTTATGTTTGTAGAGTTAAAATTCAGATAGTGACTTTTTTAATGTGTCTGCAAGATGATCTAGAATATGATTACACAAACTTTAATCATTCTGATGGAAATCTGAAACTTAAAACTACTTAGACATTTCCTTCAGTAATAATGTATAGATACTTGTCCACAGACTAAATGTCACCAGAATTTGCATCTGTTGAACTTTGGGTATGTGTTGAACTTTGCTATTAAAATCTCTGTATTTCGTGGGAATGTCAGTCTTGCTGATAATCTGAAATGTACTTCTCAGATTTTCTTTATTCACTGAAGAAAGCAATCCACAGAATTCATTGCTCAACCATTTTGATGGATTTCATAGCCAGAAGTGTAAAAGCAATATGGGAAATATAGTAAAAGTGATGTGAATTTTATGTCACAGTGGGGACACTGTCCGGGCTTCACATATTATATTACAGTGACTTTCTTGGATGCCTAGAGTTATGTCTCGGAATATATTCATGCTTCTTTAAGTAGGCCCCAGGTGAATTCACCTGTGTTCATGCTTTAGTCTTCTTGTTTTTACTACTGTTTAGCTTTGTGAGTGCTTTTTCTGACAGATTTCTATGCATACTAACCGTATCTCACAAGTCGTAAAGTGCATGCTATGGTGGTACCACCTTCTGTTCTTTATGCCCATGATAAGTTTTTTTATTCATGTTAGATATATGCTAAACAGGCAGACCCTAATCTGTGTTCTACATGAATAGTAAAGCTTATGTTTACCGTCCTGTTCATAGGCTTCTTCCTTATTCTGGGTATAACTAGGGACGCTGAAGATTTGCGCATGGCCAGTGGTTCCTAATCCTTTATTTCCTGGCTAAGGTAGCTCCTTTTTTAGCTGGTGTGTCTCGGTTGGCTGAGAGCCCTGTGTCAGATGCAGTGTATCTGACGTGTTTCCATCCTTCTCTGCACTCCGGAAGACACCACCTGTTACCCTACCTATCCATCCCTGTTCCCTCCTTCCCGTTATGCAACAAATCCTTGTTTTCCTCACATCGGTGGGTGCATAGCTCAGCATTTAAGCTTCTTAGATTTCTTGTGATTCGTGGGACAGAGTTCTAACTAGTGAATACTGGAAATGGCTGGACAGCTGGAACTTGCTGCAGAGCTAGCTTTTTTTGATTGTGTGTGGGGGTTGGGGATCCTATGACGAGGGATCTCTCCCCTAGCACCTCTGAAGCCCTTGATCCTGCCCTCAACACATCAGGACCAGAAGGTTGCTTGGGTTTGCACATCAGTGGTAGCTGTTTCCTGGCAGGATCTTGGATAGGTGCTCTAGGTTGGGCTTTACTGGGAAGCCGAAAGGGAAAGCTGTGTGGAAGCCGTTGAGCAGAGGCAGTTCCCTTCCTGGCTTGCCCAGCTTGGCTCCTTGTTGACTTGGAAAAAAATCGATCTGTTGCTTAACTTGCTGCTATGAGGATTTTGTTTTCATTTTTGTTTTTCAAGAGTGTGGGCCCTAGCTTGGTTATAAGGAATTGTGTACAGAAGAGCTCAAAGAAAAGCCCTGTTCTCCTCCTTTTCCTCTTCCCCCATCCCGTTCTTTCCCTTCCCACTTGCCTGTCCTCCTTGTCCCTGTTCCTCCTCCTTCTTTTTAAAGACACAATCTTCTGTATCCTAGGCTGGCCTCAACCTTTTTATAAAGGCGGGGATGACCTTGAACTTCTCAAGTTCCTGTCTTCACATGCTCAGTGCTGAGATGGTCAGATTTCATGCTACATTTACCAACTGAATGTTGGCCAGCAGAAAAACCTGTTAGCTGTTGAAGGTATTTTTGACCCTGATAACTCCCTCATCCATATACAGTTCTCCTTCAAGATCAGAGGCAGTTGAGCTCCTGAACTTCAGCTATGGCAGGAGCTCTCCCAAGTTTGGTTCTGTGCCCTTTCATTATGAACTGTGCACTCTGCTTCGTTCCTTTCACCTGTGAAATGGGGTGTTACCGGCATTTGTCCATAAGGCCTGGGAAACATTAGCCCTGTTAGCAGCTAACAAAGAGCTCAGTTCTGGGACCAGTGCACCCTAGTGGTATTTCAGAATCTGTGTTACAGCTTACAGAGCAGGCTTTTACTCTCTGGAGACCACCATGTCCCCACATGGATACAGAAAACAGTGAATAAACAGAATGAATAAAACTGGGGGAGACAGCTCGAAAAGTGTTTCCCTCAACAGCAGAGACTTAAAGGTGATTCCTGATTCCTCTATGAGGTGGACAGGGGGTGACAAGATTCAGTTGCTTTCAACTTGTTTTTTAGAGCTGGGAGGTCTTTAACTTTGTACTCTCCAGGGAATGCATTGGAAGTCTTCTGTAGCAAGTGGACTCTTCAACTGCTGGAGCTCCACCTACACTCTTGACAGTTTTGTCTACATCAGCAAGCCCCCAGTGGAGGGGAGGACCCCTGGTGGTGACAGTCAGAGACTGACTGAGCCGAAACAGTGCCCATCGGCTTGATTCCCGGCATGTGGAGCCTTGGAGAGGAGGTAGACCTTGTGACAGGCAGGCCCAGTGGGAGGCCCTCAGGTGGCTGGGCACGCACCCTTGAGAAAACGGTGAGACCTCAGTCT